TTGAAGATGCTCCTTACGACTGGGTTACGTACCGAAAAGCTCATCGTAAACTGAAAATATCGAGTGAAAATAATGTGGAATATGTATATGATATGATAAATGAATAAGTAAATCAATAACTATTGTCATTTAATAAGTAAATAAACAAATAATTACTGTAGCTAACTAAATGCCAGTAACTGAGAAATTAACAATAACTACTGGAAGATGATCCTGGGGTGGAGGCTACAGCAACAGTCAGTCATCAATTTTTTATGGTTCGCCTTCGCGAGCGTAGAAGGCAGAGTCGTCGACAATTATAGGCGATTCAGGAACAAGCGCTTGCTTTTTCAGGAAGGTTAAGTTTTGACGGGACAGTTTGTCTTTTTTTCATTACAAATTTATTTATAGCAAGCAAGACCACCCTGTACTTGTCTTTCAAATTTTGCAAATCTCATAATTATGATCATATCGTCAACGTATGATACGCTGCAAAACAACGTATGAGATGTTTACGTCGCAATCACTACAGAGACTGCGGGCGCATTGCTATCGCAACATCGTGAAGTCAAACCATCGTAAAGCGCAGAACATGTGTACTTCCTGCAGGTTTAGGTTCACATCGTGACTTAACTTCAGGCCAAGGTTCAGGTGATACGATAAACAATAGATTATTCGTCTGAACCGAACAGAAAATCGGTTTCTGTTCATACCTCTGTGGTCGGATTACTACACTGGACGATACCAAGATACACAACTGGCATTCTCCGAAAACAGCGAGCCCGTCTTCAGATAACAGTAGCACACTCATGCTGGGACGTTAAATCGGTTGAATCAATCTTGCATGAAAGTTCGTGTCGTGCCCGGATTGCCTCATAAATTTGCTGGCGCATACTTGCTCGCCGCACGGCTGATAGTCTGTACAGTTGCTGCACATGTCCCGTATTACTGGTACGATAGTTGATCAAGAATACAACTGTTACAGCGGCTGCAGCACTTCGAATGGACGGTCGTCAAGAAATATCTCTGCAGCTGATTCCGAGTATGAAGGGGAGGCCGAAGTTACTGCTTCGATCACTCGTTTATCAAAGACAAAGAGACGGATGAGAAAGTAATGTGAATGCTATGTACGAGCTAGGCCGTAAGAACAAATTTTATGCCACATTGTGCACATCGGATGAGCGCGCCATTTGTCAATCGAGAAAAACAAACACGCTGCTGATTCCACCAAAGCGAAATCGAAGAATTAAAGGAAAACGCCGTGAGATTGTGACTTTAGCTTCCGTCAGGCTGTCACAAGCAGTAGCCGGATAATTGTCATTCATTCAAAGCGTGTAGCAGACAGTCAGACGCCAGAAAGTCGAGTCGCGCATCAGACCACCAAATCAAACCAGCCTAAGCGACTTGATACTGCCGGGAAGGGTACAGGCAAGTTTCGTTGCGAGGAATTTCTGATGCACAACATGGGATCCAGCAACGATCGTCTGTTAATTTTTTCTACTAGGAATAATCTTCGACTATTGTAGCTATCATTCAACTGATATGCCAATGGAACATTCAAAAAGTTCCTCATTTGTTTCAG